AAGAAATTATTTCAGAGATTGCCAGGTGCGAACCAACACCATTGTTTCACTCAGAAACTGTTCACAATGAGGAATGCTATTTCTCCTACTCCAGTGGAAATCACCAACTGGATTTTGGCCAGCCTGTGACAAAGACCTAGCAGGTGATTCAAACCTACATACATGCACATGTATCGTGGGACGATTGCAACTGAAGGCCACACTGGTGTCCTCCAGGCCTTTTAGATGGCAAAGTCGATAATCCAGACTTTTGGTCAGGGTGGCTAGGGCTGACGAGAGGTGTCATGCAAAACAGTTGCAAGCACCATGCTGCCTACCTCTAGGCAAATTATGATATACTAGTGTGAATAAGCCAGTAGACAAAGAACTGCAAACTGAATTACCGCATTTCCCCATGTATAAGACTATAATTTGTCTAAAATCTTTAGATTAAAAATTGAGGGTCGTCTTATACACGGAACTAAGCTGAGGAAAGAACAAAAACAAGCGGAGGGGAAAGCAGGAATCAAAGCGATCCTGCAGCACTTTGATCCCTTTCCCCCTACACTTGCTAAGCCCCACTATGAGTTCTTAATTTTAGATTAGAAAAGTGGTGGTGGTGGTGATCTTATACTGTACATGCGAACATCTTACACACAGGAAAATACGGTATAATATTATCAGATGCCAGGTCAGGCACAATACAGCTTACATGTTCAGCTGGGAATCATCCACTGCTGAATAAGCACATGCTGTCTGTGCATGTACGAAGTGGCCAGTGTTCACTCTGTGGAGCCTATCGTAGGGTAGAGGGCATAGCCCAACTGACATCTTGATATTTAGGAGTTCCTGAGGATTTTGTGAATGATCACAAATTCCACTGACAACTTAACGCATGTTTTCTCAGGCAGTTTCCCAAATTCTTTACCTCTTTCTTTTTTTCTGCTACACTGTCTTTTGAGCATTTCATGTCATTGTCAAGAGTTTTGGTTTTTCGAACATCTGAGAGATTGCTGAAGAAAGAGTGATTAAGGAAAAACAAATTAATAGGAAGGGAAATGATGGGTAGGCAGAGGAGGGCTTCTAGAACACTGATGCCTAACACTGCTCGATGCTCGATCCCCTCTGAGCTATTGAAGACTTCTCTTCAGCAGTTCCCCTAACCCTCTGACCGCCTTGGTGCAATCCAAGTACAAAGTTCCCAAGGAAACACACAATGCAACCATTCTTTCTTCCATGATCTGCACCACTAGTCTTCTGAATCAATGGTGGCAACTTGTGGCTGGTAGACCAGGTCAACAAAGGAAGGACAGGAGCCTTTGAGTTCTGGAAACTAGAGGTCACTGAGTAACCATGTCAATTTCTTTGTGGCATCTGAAAGGATACACTGGCGTGGAAAGGATACCCAGCCAGGTGGGCCAACCCTCTTCTCAAAATTTTGGGCATGGCCCTTCTCTGCTCTGATGTAAGCTGAGATGCTTTACTGAGAAATCCCTACAAACAAAATTGGGCCATTTCCAGCTAAACAACTCCTGGATGTGGACAAGTGGAAGAGAACAACCACACAGATCTGGTTGAATGGGTAAAAATGAAGATTTATGAGCACAAGGTCTGCCCTGTGAAGGCAAGCTTATCTGTGCCATTGGGCTAATTAAAGCAATCCATCACACAGTGTGTGTCTTGAGGCCGGGTCAGATGAAAAGCTGGGTATAAACTAAATGTCAGAAGGTGCTGATAAAAATACATACATACACATACATACACATGGGCTGTGTATGTGAGTGTTTCCAAAAACCTAGGTTTTAAGGATACTGTATAGTGGCTTCAGTGAATTGCACTCCAAAACAGTGAATCCATCTGCAGAGAAGAGGCAGTTGCCGCATGTCCTGTGTGGAGGAAGCCTTCTGTTTACTTGGTGTCTTCATTTTGGATCTAGGAAACTAACACGGAATGCTGCAATTCCCTGGCCATGCACACACCGGTGCTCTCCAATTTGAAGGACATCTCACTCAGCACTACAACAAGGTACTTTTGAGTCCTGAGTTTATAACAGATTCCAGCATCCTGTTGGAAAAAAAAACATGCATGGAACAGCAAATTGCACAACGTCCCCCACCTTTGAAGGGATGTTTTCCATGCATCTGATTTCCAAATTTAGCTCACCAACTGATTTGGTGAGCATTCCAGCGCTGGAGACATTCAAGAGAAAACTGGACGACCACCTGTCAGGTCTGCTCTGATTTGGATTGGGTTGGACTCGAGGGTCTTAGAGGCCCCTTCCAACTCAATAATTCTCTTTCTAAGATTCTATGTAACCAGCACATGACCAGTTGCACAAAAGACACCCCACCAGAGCAGGGAACTCCTTGTGCAATTATCATTCTGCATGCAATTTCTTCCGACAGGATTCTGACCAAGATGTCCAAGTAAATGCACCCAACTAAAAAAATCTGAAAAAGACTTGACCAAATCAACATTTCTGCAGAACTGAACAGTGCAAATTATCAGTAATTAGTAAATATGACTTAAAATGTGCTGTTTTGTATCTCCTATTTTATTATCAGGGTAAAAACAGGGGCCAACAGGAAAAATGTGAGCCTAGAAATAAAGAAACCCATATTTCTCAATGAGTCTTCTGCACTGCCTTGAGTTACGACTGCATTTGAATCTGAGCTTACAGTGGCTGTGAAACTCCCTCTTGGTGTCTCAGTTCAGCTACCAAGCATGAAGGCAGAGAGAAAATTAAAGGGAGTGTGCACATATGTGCACAAATATTCAGAGAAGAACATCTGAGAGGGATGAAAATTACTACACGGCTGCAAAGCATTATTTATTGATCAGTATTTCCACTCTAGCCTCAAAGGTCATGCTCACCCTTGAGAAGCAAGGAATGCAGGATTGATCGGTTACAACTGCCGCCTAATCGTTTCTGATTATGGCTGCAAATGGACCTGAAAGAAAACTCATTTGTTTATGGCACTCAACAACAAAATTCACGTGGCTGCCATCGGGAGCCATCTGAACGCCACTCATCAGCAGCATCCATCTGATTAACGTACAGCCGTTTGACAAGACGAGGACAGGATGGCTGGCAGCGATGTTTCCTCGGGAGAGCCACAAGTGATCTCTCTCCTCCAGAAGTGGGAGAGAAAGCCCATCCCGGCAACAGCCTCATCATCTCAGTCAAGTCATTAAGGCAGAAGCAGCTGTGTGGGCAGCCTTCAGACTGAGTTTTGCTGGACTGTCCGCTACCATAAGGCCTCTGTCAAAAAGACTTGCTTCCTATCACGCACGACAAATCCAAAGGGAAGACTTCTCTCAAGAGCAGCAGGGAATCAAACCTCTATTTAAAGAGCCTTGGGATGTCCAACAGTTGCATCAAGGATACCTCCTACCGGGTCTGAGGTCTAGGAAGAAGTAAATGCCAAGGACTCTGCATTCATCCCAATGGATGACCCTACCTTAACAATGGCCTGCATGCTGGAAGCTGCCCAGGCTGCCTGCCCCAGGCTTCTTCCTGGATGAAGGGCAGAGGTTCTGACTGGCATGCGCTGGCTGAACAACTGAAGGAAAGGTGTGACTGTGGAAGCATCCCTGAAATCCTGACTCACAAATAGCTTGGCTCAACAAGCCCCCCATCCGGTTCCTCTCAAGTTCCGTAGCCTTCTTATAGACTTCACTAGCAGTCAAATTCTCCAAGGAAAGACCAGAAAATTTCCAGGGTTTATCAGAATGAATTGTAGGATGGCCAATGCATATTTCCATGAGTGGAAATTCAGTATGTGGGATCAACAGCTGGTCTAGTGATAAGATCATTGGCGGGGGGAATGACTGCCTTCACACAAAAGAGCAAATCCACACAAAAGAGCAAGTCACTAGAAAAGAAAAAGGGAGAGAAGCTGCACCCTCACAAATTTATTTCCTGTTACTTGCAGTCAAGTCAACTTGACTGGCAACCCTTTAAAGTTTTTCAATGTGAGCGAGATGTCAAAGGAGTGGCTTACCCTGTCTTGGTAATACCAGTAGGATTCCAGATCATAAATCACAAAGATAAACTGCTTCACTATAAAATGACCTTGGACATGGTCAAAACGGGGTGCAATTTTCATTCAGAACACACAAACAGTCTCAAAGACAGAATGATTGCATCTAAGAGTACAGAATAACTCTTCCTCTTTGAAAAGATCAAGACTCTATAAAACGAAGCTAGTCTCAACCCATAACACTCTAACTGGCTCTATCTTCTCTCTGACCCATGTCAACATCCATGGTTCTCTCTCAGCTATAACACACAAGTGTCCAAGCTGCATGACGATCATATATAGAAATGTTTTCTCTTTGGTGCGTTCCTCACCTGCCCTCCTCTACCATCACCTATGCAGGGGATGTCATGCGCACTTCAGAAGTACAAGTGCTCATAGCGTCAGATCCCCCTAAGGAGAGACCAAATGCAAGTCGCTGGATCGGTGCATATCAACAACTGAAATACAAGGCTTTTGTAAAGTTTGCGGCTCTAAATTGCTCATTCCACATACACACAAAACCACTCAAATGCTTTTCATTACACCAAGAATAACTTACAACTATATATTACACCTGGGAAAATCCCATTCTCTCTCATTTATAAAAAGAACTGTAACTAGGTTTAGAGGGAACAGGGAAACCCACGATAAGGCGGCAGGTGATTCCAGACTCTCTGACCTTGTGAGCCATGGATCCACTATACCACTGCACCCAGTACACCACTTGATGTCAAAGCTCTGCATGAAGATCTGCACCAGCCTGGTTCACACAAATCTTCCTGAGCAAGGGAAGGCTATAAAAAAACAAGAGGACAGATTGGAAAGCCTCACTGCACACTAAATCCCACCTATCTGAACAGTCTGGCAAGCATGGGAACCAGCTGGACGCAACCTGTGAGTTCAACGCCAAAGGAAGACGAGAGAAGGTGAGGTGCTCCTGGTCTTTCCTTTACACCCCAGACTGAGTGGGTAACCCCTTTTGGAAGTGCACTGCGCTACCTGCAAGAGAGGCCTCTGCACCCCAAGCATTTTCATTGTGTCTGCGTTGGCTAGTATCTTCAGTGGGTCAGTGGTCTTGGTGACACCTTCTATTTCCTTGTTGATTTCTCCCAGGACTTGGTGAAGAAAGATGTTCTTGATATACATGGTGAGAAATTCCCGGAGTGGACACTGTTTGGTGGGTCCGAGTCCCAAAGCGTGCTCGATCTCTTGAATAAACCTGAAAGACATAAAAAGAGGGAAAGAGCTGATCATTCGTAGGTTGGACAACCTAGAACGGGATTTAAGTCAGTAATTTTAGACATTTATAAAAGGGGTATGGGGAGACCAAAGATACTTCCATTTCACTCTGTTTCTCCAGAATGGGGTCCCATTAGAATGAATACACACTGTTTCATCTTAAAGGACAGATTACTTGTTTTAGAAGAGGACACCTCTCATTGGAATAACGGATAGCCTTCACTTTAAGGCTACTTTGGATTCTTAAGTGGCTCTGTGCTTGGAGAAGTGTTTTTTTTTTTTTTTAACTACGACTCTCAGAATCCCCCAGCCAACATGTCCACTGATAATCGGTGCTGATCGACTTGAGAACTGTAGATCAAAATAGGAACGTTTTGAAATTTTGCTCCATAAAACAAAACCCAAGGCTTTGGTGTGCCCCGTACAACTGAAAATGCCAATCCTGGTTTGTCTGTCTCCCGAGAGGAGTCTCCATGATTCTGAGCTTCACGCTGGCGAACCGCCATTCCTTACTCTGCATATAAAAAAACTAAAAGCAAAGGTCTGGCAGCTTATGAACTTGGGTAGATAGGGAAGAAGATGATTAACCTCTTCCTGTAAGGCTATACTGATGTCAAAACTGCATCCTTCACTTCCCTGCAAAGAGAAACAACATATGGAAAAAAATAAGGACCTGTATTTTTTGTTTCATGCATGAAAATCAAGGGGAGGTGTATTTTGAGTGGTGCAATTGCGGGAGGGGAGGGTAACAACACTTTCCCCCATACACGCTTCCTCTGCTCAGACTCATCCTCCTGTCCAGGTTGATTTTGATTTATAAAAAGCAAACACGGGGTTAAGAGAATCACAGACATCTGTATAATATTCCAGCTGTGCTTAAACTGGCACCCTCAGGCAGGGAGCACATTTGAAATGCCATTTGATCCAGTCGTGGAAACTAAGATCACCACCTTGAACCGGTTGTGGCTTTTGGGGGGGGGGAAATAAAAACGGGGTACTTTATATGGCGGCCAGGGCAAGGGGAGGAGCTCACCCTTGCCTTGATGCAGAAACCCTAAAAAACTAGAGCGTTTATCAAATATCTGATAGGCTGGAGGAAAAGGCTGGCTTTCTACGCACAGCCCAAGGGAACCAGCGTAATCCAGATCTGTGCAGGTAATTTCCTTTAAACCTTTTCATCAAGGAAAAAAAACACACACATCCAGATGTAAATTTACAAGGGAATGAGACTGTTCTCAGCAGTCCCAACTGAAGCCAACTCATGCGAGCAGAAGTAAATGGAGGAAAAACCCATAAAGTTTTCTTAAAAAAAAAAAAGTGCTGTGGAGCGTATTTTCTCAGTGTGTGAGAGAGAGCTGGCTGGCAAGTCAAGGAAAGAAAATTCCCTTAACACATGGTAATTACGCTTATTTAACATAACAACTGCAGCGCTCCTAAAATGCTACCTGAGATTTCTGCAGATCAAGAGTAAAGCAAAGTTCTTTTCTGAAATGCTGGATTGTGGCCCCAGATGATTTCCCCGAGAGAAAACTCCCCAAATCTAATGAAGAAGAAAAAAAGGTATGTAGGGGGGAAAAGACAAGGAAATCAGCAGGTCCTCCTGCTGTTTCAGAATTTTTGTACAGAAGAAAAAGATTCAGACAGAAGCCCTAAAGATGGAGAGGGAAAAAGCAAAAATCTCTGTCTCATCTCCATTTCAGAAGCAAGCGCTTGCTGAGTGATATACAAATTTAAGGCATTTTATCTTTCTAGGAACGCATTCAAGGTGATTTGTGACTACAATTAAGCAGTCCCTCTAGACGGAAAAGCACTTTAGGTAAAATCAAGACTCTATATTTTTGTGCAAACGACAAGCCTTTGGGTTTTCAGAATCACATATACACATTTTAAAACGCTCCCCGCTTTCCAAAACTTAAGTCATTTTAATTCCCAGCTTTATTGCCTTGGCCTGTTGTAATATATAGGTAAGAGAAGTGTTGATAAAGAAACTACAGGGTGATTTTCATCTTTTGCAAAGGATAAATCTGTAATTGCTTTTTGTTGTGATGCCCTGTATCCCAACGCTGTTTTACTTAATTATTTATTTTTAAATGCAATTTTGCTAAATTCCAGTAAAAGAATGCCATGTCCGTCCGGTCACAAGTGACTGATGCAGCGGTCAGGCTGGGCCTACAGATGGAAGGTGGTGTTCCACCCGTGTTCCAGGAAGGACTGGAGTTTCTCAGAATATTTAGCTAACATACTCCAGCAAACCTTCCTGAAAAACAGCCTGATCCCTCCCTTTGGCCTGTATTCTAGGATGTACCCTGAACTCACAGGGGACATGCATGTGATGCAAACAGGTGGTCTTTTCTGCACTTGAGCCTCCTCCCATTCCTCTTTCCTGACTATGATTCGGGATACGTCAAGTAGATCACCTTGTAGGAATGGAGGCAGTGGCCTGAATTTTTCCTGAGGGCCTTTTCAGACATGGACTAGTGGCACAAAAGCTTTTTCCTGATGGCAGGGCCTGTGCCCAACACACCTCTGCAGTGTGTGAAAAAGACAAGAACCATCCAGTTAGCTAGATGGATCTGCTGTTGTGCAGCTAGCATTATTCTGATACTCCAACAGCCACAGCAGCCTAAGTTTTTATTTAGTTTGAGAGGCATAATCTGATTTGCAACCATTATCAAGGAAGAGTGTATCAAATAAGAAAGAAAGAAAAGAGAATCCTACTGCAAAACCACATATTGGACACATAAGATTCAACTAAAATCCAGTCGCCTCATTAGTAGAAAAAGAATATTGCAAGTTAACTAAGGGCCAAATGTGCATTCCAAGGGAAGATGTTCATAACATCGCAGAATGATGGAGTTAGAAAGGGCTTATAAGGCCATCGAGTCCAACCCCCTGCTCAAGGCAAGAATCCAAATCAAAGCAGAGTGGACAGTAAAAAGGTAAAGGTAAAGGTTCCCCTTGACATTGAGTCCAGTCATGTCCGACTCTAGAGCGCGGTGCTCATCCACATTTCCAAGCCGTAGAGCCAGCATTTGTCCGAAGACAGTTTCCGTGGTCACGTGGCCAGCACGACTGGACATGGAGGGTTGCCCAATTTTCTCTCGAATGCTTTTTATTTTGGATCTGACTGTTCTTCCCTGATGAAACTCAAGGCACCATCACTGGTGCCATCACTGAGCTGGTTCAGATAATTTTCTCATTTTGCTGTTGATGTTTAGATTGGACAGTCTTTAGCTCACATGACGATCACACTGTTTTCAGGAATATTTCTATACACTGCTTTGAAATCCCTTTGGGGACATCAGTAGGTTGTTTTTTTAAAAAATAAATATATAAATGAGCAGAGTTGCATTTGACAAAATGACTGTGTTGACGGAAGCTTCTTTCTTACAATACTCCTATATTATCTCTTGCAAACCCACCCATCCACCCCCATGCACACACTTCCTTTGTTGAAAAGAAATCTTACAGAGCCCTGGAGATGACAGAGGATACGGCGATTAAACATGAACGGAGCTTAATAAATATAATGAAGCCAAAACATCCACCCTATTGGATGTGTCACAGATCATTTGCTGCTGGAGATACACTCAATGAGGAAAGGAGAAAGACATAGCATTTGCGGAGGAAAACTAGACAGCGGGGAATTGGGTTACGTTATGGGACCAAGGCTGCCGTTAAGAACAAGCTGGTGACAAATCCTTTACTGCAGGCAAAGAAAAACAGTCCAGACTCTATGGAGTGCTCCCACTCTTCCCGGGTCTTATCCCACTTTATTGGCACTCCTTCTATTTAGATTACAGTTTTCCAACCATAGTTCATAGCAAAAGCTTCCGGAAGGAAGAAACCTAAACAATCCTGAATCTAGCATCTGACCTGAAAGATTATTGTTCTTTCACATACCCCATATTTGGGGGCACTGAGATAAGATGGCACAGTGCAGGGCTTATATCAACACAAGGGACCATTTCTGGGTGACTTTGACAAGCAGCAGTGGAGGCTCATGAGATGATGATGCCTGCCTGCCTGCCTGCCCGCCCACCTCTCTCTCTCTCTCTCTCTAAACCATCTTTAACCTGCCTTTCTCCTTATAACGGACCTAAGCTAGATTACAACACTCAGAGGCAAGGAACATTTAAAAGCTAAAAACAGTAAGTACACAAATATTCAAAAAGAATCAAACAAATGCCACACTAAAAATGGCAAACAAAAGCAATATTAAAAACCAATTTGAAGCAAGAAGGCACAACACTCCATTTAAAAAAACCCTCCCAGATAGTCAGTCACTAAGGAAAGACCTGTCTGCTTATGGATCTAGCCAAGATGGCGCCGACCTGGCCTTCCACTTGAATTTGCAAAGCCATTCACTCCTGGTGACATTCCACTGCGCACTCCCCCTAAAATGTTCTTATTTTTGTATTGGGGGAATATTTGTTTTGTTGTATTAGTTGCCTTTGTGGTATTTGCACATTTTCAATTCTTGCAAATTGTTTCTCATTTTGTCCAGTCATTGTCTGTTCCTTATTAAATACAGATTACATTTTTTGTAAGCAGTGTCCTTCTCCAACATTATAAATACTGGGGTGGGGGTGGGGGAATCAGAGGTCAGGACCTAATGCAGAAAGTGAAAGGATAGGGCTTGGCTTAGTTTCAAATGAAGGAGGACTGAAAACCAGCAGAAGAAAGGTCAGTTAGAGAAGATATGCAGATGTTACCATGCTACTGACAAGAAGCACCAATGATTTGAGACGACTTCTGATGAAAGTGAAAGAAGAAAATTCAAAGTAAGGATCAGAGCTTTGAGATGACTTCTGATGAAAGTGAAAGAAGAAAATTCAAAGTAAGGATTAGAGCCGATCATTGTTGTTGTTGTTGTTATTTCATATAAAGTTCCCTCCAACTTATACTAGGCAATTGAAGCTGAACATTAAGAAGATCAAAACACCACAATTAAAGAACTGGGTAACTTTAATGTGGGCT